TTGAATTACTGGCATCTTACTCTTCTACACCAAAAAAGATATCAAATTTCTGAAAATCTCATAAGTTCGACATTAAAACGTCTTCATAACCATTACTATTTAGTACCAATAAATGCAGTTTTTTACGGGCTTCAATTTGGTATAAAATACTTAGTGAAATCATTTTACCTTAAGGTCGAACCTAGGGGGCGTAAAGGTTTTTTAACACCCTATACTTTCTAATAAGATGCTTAAGATAACATTATTACCACTAAAAATATTTCATAATTGATAGCGAAACAAATCAGAGTGTACAATATTTTGTTTTACTTTGTCGATATCCCAGATTTTAAACTAGTAATAATCTTATCATTTCTGTCGACTATGAAACACATTTCTGGTACATAAAAGAAAGCAAAATTGTAGCAAGTAAATCCACAAATAGTTTCAGTTTCGAGATATCAACAAAATAAAAAGAAAATATATTGTACATCCTCCTTGGTTTTGCTACCTTTTACGAAATATTTATAGTGATAACAATGCTTTCTGAAGCATCTTATTGGAAAGTGCATCCAATATTAAATTGATTAGCTGGACTTTTCTCTACAGACGAGTGAAACTAAGCAAGATATTGATTATTGAAGGAAGTTCATCGTACTTGCAGTAAATAAGAATGTATGAAAAATGCTGAGGGATAACATAGTTATCAGCTCTTGTATTTAACGCGTTTTCACGCATTTCTCGATAAATTCACGTGTGAAGAATCATTAAAAATTTACTGATCTAGCGAAAAAAAATATCGTTAGAATTTGAAAACGCGTTAATTTTGCGCACTTTTATTGCGTTTTCATGATCAAAATTGTAACGTTTTTAATCGTTAAATCGTTAAATTTTTAACGAATTTTCACGTCACAAAGTTTCGTTAAATTAACAAAAATGTTTACATGTGTATTATTATAATAAATATGCTATTCTTCTAATAGGCATCTGATATGGAAATTGATAACAATAATGAACAACAGAATGAGATTAATCAATCCATTGAAGCACAATTAATTCCAACTGATCATGAGAATATTATCAATTTTGACAATATTAATAAAGTTTTGATTCGAAACAGAAGGATTTTATACTGTGAACGCGTATTAAGAGTTGATCCTTTCGGGTCTGATTTTACAATTCTAAATGAATTACTGAATATTTATCCAAAGTTGAATCGAAACATACTGAAGAAAGAAATATTGCCTAGAATCTCATCTGAAAAAATAAGTCGTGCGTTGTACAATGATATTCTTAATTGGTTAGATAGGGAAGGATCTATATTGATTGTTAGATATCTACCATATTTATCTATAGCATGTAAAATGGTTTTTCGTCAATGTATTATAAAAAATGATCCTATTCATGGTTGTGTATTTGTGCCGATTGATAGAAACCATGGAATATCACCGACTATATATTATATATGTGATAGATTCGAACAAAATATTATAGGTGTTTTCATCACAGATCCTTCATACACTATGTCACATATCAATCATATTTATAATCATTTATTATTACAGACACGTATAACTGACGATAGAAAAATACTGTTATATACAATATTAATTGAGGAATTTATTAGACAAATAAAAAATGTTCAGTTTCATCAACACTTACATTTATTATTTAAATACCAAGACATGTACAAATGTTATAAGGCTTTAATGGAATTAAAACGTGAACTTACTCCCATTGAATCATTAGATTATTATCAATGTTTAATTATGCTTAATAAATATACAATCTCCGAAAAAGAATTACCAAAATTATTATCAGACGGAAGAATTAGAACAGATGAGATATGGTACCTGCTTGCTAGAGCACAGCGCAAATGCAAAAAATATTCAAATAACTATAGAGAAAGAATAAATAATGACAACTACTCAAAAGCAAAGAGAAGTGTTCAAATAGCAATTCAGGTGAATCCTGCTAATGAAAAAGTAATAAAGGAGCAAACTATAATAAGCAAACTAATAGAACGAAAGTCACGAGAAAAAATAACTCTAGAACATAATATAGAACATAGAAGACGTGCTGATGATTGCGAATCATATAATATTTTATCTATCGATGGTGGTGGCATTCGTGGAATAATGGCAGCTATTTGGTTACGTGAATTAGAACGAAAAACGAAGCGAACCTGTTCGTCTATGTTTCAAATGATGGCTGGAACATCAACAGGTGCTATTATTGCTGCTGGTTTATCTGCACCGAACATTAATCATCTGACGAAACCAGCTCATGATACTTCGAAGTTAGTTCAACTCTATAAAACTTGTGGAAAACATATATTTATCAAAAAGCCGCGTCATCCACTAAATCCCTGTAGGAGTTCTTTATCTTTAGCACCTAAATATTCCTCTGATGGTAAACAGAACTTATTTGAATATTATTTTGGTAAAACATTATTATATGAATGTTTAACTGATATCGTTATACCAGTTGTAAGAAGTGGTGATACTTATACTCATTTATTTACAAGAAATGATGATTTATATTCAACATGTTTAGTGGATGTTTTAATGGCAACAACAGCTGCACCTACTTATTTCAAGCCACATTGTTTGAATGGCATAAACTACATTGATGGTGGTGTACAAATGAATAATCCAACAATGGCTGCATATACAAAAGCTATTGAATATGGTTATAAGAAAGAAGAGATATTTGTATTATCATTAGGTACAGGTGATTATATAGAAGACTCATTGGTTGCTAATGAACATCCACATATTATATATTATATGAGACATCATGATCATGTGGTTAAAGTTCTTCTTGATAGTCAACAACATAATGTGGATTATCAGATGAGCATTTTAATGGATGATAATAATTACTACCGGTGGCAAGTATGGTTTGAAGAATCTATTGAATTGGATAGATATGAACCACATATAGTGGATAAACTGGAAGATATCGCATATGAATATTGGGAAGAAATGGAAGTTCATGATAATAACAGATTAAATAGATTGATTACACGTTTAAAAGATGAATAAAATAACACGGAAAAAAGAGAAAATTACCTTGATGTATCAATTTTTTCTTTAGCTATTAAAGCGGATAGATAAAATCATCTACTAGAGTACCTAGCCATAATTTGATCACCACTTTCCAGTGAGTTCGAGGGATGCTGTTCTACCGTTGAAACCATGTTTAACATCACAGAGTTTAAACGACGATATATTGACCAAATTATGCATTTGTCACAATAAACGATTTTCTATGTCAAAAAGAAAAATCGTGTTCTTGTCTTTTAAATGTCGGATTATAAATGTAATTAGTAGTGATTCGTTCAAGTGAAATCTGTGATTTTTCATTACTTGATCTGTAGTAAACGATTCTTTATTTGAAAAAAAAACCATTTAATATTCAAGAATTATCATCTTCTTACCTGTAATCTGGTCGTTCATCTAATTTTATTGATCTGATGATGGACAATACACGTTCGTTTTCTGTCGATATCTCATCGCATTCCAATGAAAAGGTACCATTATGTTTTCGAAAAAAATATACGTTCAATTTCTAACAAGTCAAAACATTTGTTTATACAAATGAAATTTCATATATCTTCAAAACATAACACATGAATAGAAGTCTTCTGTACAATTATCAACACAAAAAAAAGAAAAATTTGTAAAAAAGCCTTGTAGTCATGCGTTATATTTTAAAGATGCGTGAGCTTTCATTTTTTCAAATAAATATTTCGACTTGTTAGAAATTTAATTTTTCTGTTTTGTCGGAAATAAAATGAAACCTTTTCAATTAGAATGCAATGAGATATTACAAAAAAAACTGACTCCCTCTTTCTTCTAGCACATTGATCGTTTTTTTAAAATTTTTTCTATACTTCTCATAGGCAATTCTCTCAATCACTCAAGGATAATGGATTTGTCTTCCATTTGATAAGCATTAAGAATCAATGTATTGGTATAAAAAATGAAAAATTTTAAGGGAATAAATACTATAGATAAAAAATATCGATTTTTCGGCCTATTTTATCAAAATAAAATATGGAACAGCTACCCTATTGACGTACTTCTAAAATCTATTCATTATCCAGAGTATTTTTTCTCATTCTTGAGGGTATGGATGTTGGTGTGATGACTCAGTTCGTCTACACCCACACCTACACATCCATCCACCCTCGTTCATGTACACGCAGATCTTTCGAGAGATTCTACTAGAAATGACATTTTCCCAAGACGCTCTCAGCAAATTCATCATCTTCTGTCGGAAGGAGAATTGTGGCTCATCAAAGAATATCAATAGTATCGAGAACGAATACTCTTCTCATAGCGCAATACGATGGTATACTTCTCCGACTTTTATCTTTTCCATGCTCAACCACACTCTTCGTGCTCTCAAAGGTGGTACTATCATTCTAATGGGCTTCCTTATTAAGGATCTCCACTGTGAAATCAAACAACTTTATCAGCAACGATCCGATGAGTATCGCAAAGAACCATTCACGATCTATCGTGAACAGAGTTGATCGATACAGAACTTTGAAAAACTCGTAAAAACGAAAGGCGAGCTTCTATCCTTTAACAATTTCTTGTCAACCAGTAGAGATAAAGAAGTGACTATCCCATATGCAGAAGGTATGTTAATGAATACTGATTCAGTCGGCATCGTGTTCAAAATTACCATTGATCCATCTAAATCTGTAGTTCCGTTTGCTCCTGGCGATAATATTGGTTACTTCCAGGAGGAAGGAGAAGTGATTTTCTCCATGCACACCGTATTTCGCATTCATGAAATCAACAAAATTGATAATATAGACCGGCTTTATCAAGTGGATTTGATGGAGACGATGGGGACAATTATTAATTAAAATTGGTCAATTAGACAAAGCTGAAGAACTATATAGAGTTTTAATAGAAGAAACAAACTAAGAGAGCGAGAAGGCAGCAATTGATAATAGTCTTAGATACATAAAAAATGATCAAGGTGATTATAAAGAAGCGTCTTCTTTTTATGACAGAGCACTTGATATTCTCAAAAAACAAATTCCTCTAAATTATTTTTTGTTGGCTATCGTCTATAACAATATCGGCATGCTGCATCAAAAAACAGGAGAGTACTTAGAATCAATTTTCTTTTACGAAAAAGCGCGTCAGATTCTTCAGGAAATTCTTCCTCCAAATGATCCTTCATTCGCTAGCATCTGTAATACCTTCGGCACGCTGTACGAAAACATGGAAGAGTATTCAAAAGCGACTCCAATGCATGAAAAAGTATTTGCAATCTATCAAAGCTCGCTTTCTGAGAATCATCCTTCTTTAGTTAAGTTCTACAACAATATTGCTTCGGTGTATGACAAGCTGGGAGAGTATTCGAAAGCAGTTTCATCTCATCAAAAAGTACTTGAAATTCGAGAGAAAGCTTTTCTTGAAAACCATCCTTCATTAGCGACTTCTCACAACAATATCGCTACAATGCATTACAAAATGGGTCAGTACTCGGAATCACTTTCCTCTTTTGAAAAAGCCCTTGAAATCTATAAATAAAATTCCTTCGGAGAACTATCCGTGTTTAACAAACTGCTATAACAATATTGATGAGGTATATCGACGTATGGAAGACTACTCACAGGCACTTTTATTTCATGAAAAGACACTTGAAATTTGAAAACAAAATTCTTTTTCCTAATCATCCTGATTTGGCTGAGTCCTACAATAACACCAACTCAGTGCATCACAGCTTAGAAAAGCACTCTGAAGCACTTTTGTTTTATCAAAAACAACTCAAAACTCGAGAAAAAGTTCTTCTTTCAGACCATCCTGACTTTGCTATTTCCTACAACAACATCGGCGGAGTGTTGAACGATAGAGGAGAGTATTCAGAAGCACTTTCGTTTTATGACAAGGCACTGGAAATCTAGAAAAAGACTCTTCCATCAAATCATTCTTCTTTCGCTATGTCTTGGAACAACATAGCTTTAGTTTATTATAACATTGGAAACTACGCAGATGCCCTTTCATTACTTGAAAGGGCTCTCGATATATGGCAATGTTCATTGCCCGAAAATCATCCCTATATTCAAACGGCATGAAGTAACATAGAACTTATAAAAAAGCAATTGTAAATGAGGCATAGATGTGGGATACAGGAACGCGGAAGCGTGAGATGATTAAGTGTGGGTGTAAGTGGTTACCATCATCAAACTCCATTCAATACTCTCGCTCCAATACCATATCCAATTAAATCAAACATCCAAGTCAGAAATACTTCGTCCATTGTGTCGGAAGAAATGTCTATCATAGAATAAAAAAAATTAAGACTTAATGATTCTGTTATCGAATGAGAAAAGAAAATTTTAAATAATGAAACTTGAGGGTGTGGATGTGAGAATGAGTATGGGTATGAATCGGTCTCAATGGGATTACAATCCACATCCTAAAAAAATTCAACTTAAAAAGTCGTATCTACTAATGAGAAAAAAATCGTGTTGGAGTAGAAGAATATTAAAATTGTCTACGACCTATTTTGTGACTTCCTAATAAGAAACAAGTATAAAAAAAAACGCATCAAGTTTTTGGTTTCTTCTGTAAACAATCTGAAAAATGAATAGAACAATGATTCAGTATTTTGAGTCATTTCTATTTTTTTCACGTGTCCAGGTCAACAAGTTACACAATGTGACTATCAAATAAAAAACTACCTGTATAAAAAGAATGTTAAGATAACAGCCGAAAACAGAATTATTTATTTAACGAAGAATCATGTCCTCAAATTACACTGTTAATGTTGAATATGATTATTTATTTAAAATATTAATTATTGGTGATAGTGGTGTTGGGTATGCATAAACTTTTGTTTTTTATTTTCAATAATTCTCTTTTCTACAAAATAATACTTAACTTCGACAGCAAAAGTGCAATTTTACAACGATTTACTCAAAACAATTTTTCAAGTGAATATTTTGTTACTGTTGGTGTTGGTAAGAATTTTGAATAATAGATTTTTTTGTTTTTCATTGATTTTTTTTCTTCGAAAAATTTAAACTAAAAATACAAAAATAGATTTTCGAATTCGAACAGTTAATGTTGATTCAAAACGTTGTAAATTACAAGTATGGGATACAGCTGGTCAAGATCGTTTTAAATGTGTTGCATCATCATTTTATCGTGGTGCACATGGTGTTATAATTTGCTTTGATATAACGAATCGTGAAAGTTTTGATCATGTTGATAAATGGCTTGAAGAAGTAAAAAGACATTGTGTCAATCAACCACCTGTATATCTTGTTGGTACAAAATCTGATTTACAATCACAACGTGTGATTTCTTATTCAACAATAAAAACATATACTGATACAAAAAACTTATCTTATATTGAAACAAGTTCAAAAACAAATGAAAATGTTGATAATTGTTTTATTGATTTTACACGTACATTAATTACACATATGGATCAAATGGATGCAAATCATAGGAGTAAACAAATGGAAAAACCATCAATTGTTTTAAATGATAAAACAAAATCGAATACGACTGGTGGATGTTCAGTAAAAGATAGATGTACGATTTAAATATTGATCAAGTTTTTGTTTATGACATATCAATATTTATTCAGTTAACCAGTAGGTATATGATTTCTCAGTGCTGTAACTCCGAGAATGATTTTGTATTGTAATATCTATTTATCATTTTTTTAAAGTTTTGTCAATAAACTATTTAGCAAACTATTTGCTTCATAGTTTCTTTAAAAAAAAATAATCGATGGATTGCGAAAATAAATCTAATTGAAATGAGTTGGTCAACAACTCAAAGTAATTAGGATGGATGAACTGTCTCTAATGACTACATGACATTGAAGTTTTATTCCACGAAAAATCTCAGTAGGAAGTTTCCATTTTTTAATTAATGGATGAGTCTATTAACAGATATAAACATAATTTGAAATAAATACTTTCGATTGATCTTTTGATTCTCTCTCTAGTGCATTATTTATTATCACCTGTCTTCATTGCAAGGGTGTGGGTGTGGATGTGAACGTAGCTAAAGAGGACGCCAACACCGATACCATACTTTCACTTACACCAGTACCCACACCCACACCATACGTCCGAAATTTGCCATAAGATTGTTTGTGTCTTGTCGATAGTAAACTTACCAATATCATCCATTCCTTGATTTCGCACTTGGCATATACAATGATCCATCGAACATGAGTGTAGTTTGGTGGAATCTCGACAATTTGACGTTGTATTCGTGTTTTTTTAGTCAACAGTTTTTATATTTTTATTCGTAAAGAGAATATCATTTTAGAAACTAAATGATGCAACTCAAATTTCTACGTTGCTCTACTCATGTCACACAATGTATGTATGTTTGTTCTCTTTCTGTTGATTCTGTTATGGTTACTTGTAAAATATTTGTCTTTCACATGCGCAAAATGGAAACAGGCTGTGTAATGACTTCAATTGCTAAAATATGCACTGCCATAGTAATCCTTCTATGACGGTGACCGAACTGTTTGTTGGACTTACCATTCACACTTCGAGGGATTATGCATAACAACAAACACGTAGTACGCTCTTGTGAAATTTCGATTTTCTCAGAATTCACTTCTCTGCACAAATCTCTTGGTAATCAGTTTATAGAAAAAATATTAATCGACAGATCTGGAAATGAGTTCTTATTAATGTCATAGCGAAGTTTCACGAATAGTTGAGAGACTCAGTAGAAGAGTTGTTCTATCCTAAAGAAATTTCATTAACGTCAGATGATATCATAAAACTACATAATCAACCGACTATTATTTTTTTCGACAAGACTCTTCACAACTTTCTTGACAAGGCTGCCTCTATCCCCGTTAATAACTCTTTCATGATCGTTATAAGCGTCTCTTTACTCAGTGTGAAAATAGATCGTTCATATGATCACTCAGACTACATTGTTACGTTTCCGTATCTTAGTATCTTCTCTCATAACATTGTGTTTGTTTTGACCATATATCAATCTGTCACCGTTTTCAGAATCTTTCTCGAACCATAATCTTTAAAACACAACGATCATCTATCCATATGACGGATCCATGTCAACAGGATTCATTAAATGAAATTTATAATCTTCTATTGGATCCTGAAAACTTGATGAAGGTGTCGCAGGATACAAACGTTGAGAGTCGACTTACACTATTAGCCTATCATCATCTGCGGAATATGAATCAGTCAGTCAATGTAAAAGATCTTCTTGGAGTAATCATTGAAATAAGGTTGGAAGAGGGTATGGATACACTGGTTGCCTACCAGGACAGAAGTGCACGTTATATCAACCAAGGTGAAAAACTGATCGTATTAGAAACCCGAACGGATAACTCTGATGAAATCATACATGATCTCTTCAAGGCAAGTCAACGTGTAGTTGATCAGATTGGGACGTGGGAAGAAGAGAGAAGACCAGCCCCAGAATTTGGCAAGTGCAGATTGAGTTTCTTCGTATCAGGTAGATTGTATTTTGGGGAGGGATCTTTTGAAGTATTTCAACCTGATTCAATGATGGAACCGATGATCAAAGCTGCATTTAAACTTTTACAATTTCTCATTGCAATAGCATCAACTCAACCTATGTAAAATCAAAGTTCTTGACTCTATAAAAAATCCAACTCCAATTTCAAGACTTTTCTCTAACAGAACTATGGTTTTCACTCTCACTCTGAAAAAAAACATTGCGCCTTCCAGTCCGATCCTGACTCTGTGAAACTTCAACAAGTTTCTGTGGTAATCTAGTAACATGTGAACCATTTTAGTTACCTTTTTCTGCTATGTACATGGGGCACTACAAAATTTTTCTCATTCGGCTCTTCTAAAAGCTTCTGTTTGAGTCCAAGTTTTTGTTACAATGCTTAATCATATTTAGGATTGTGTACAAAGTTTCAGACTTCTAAGTCTTCTACTTGCCTGTGGTTCGCCATTACTTTTATAGTAGGTGCACGCAACCTGACAACGGATGATCCATCATAGATAGAAGAACTTTGCATTTCATTTTTTTGATTCCTAGATACGTCTTATTAAAAGAACAAAAATATACCAGAAAATGCAGCACGAAAAGTTCTATAATTTACATAAGATAATTAATTTTACAGTTGCATTTTCTATGTTAAAAAAGTCGATAAACTTCTGAGCAATCAAATTTAGACACTGCGAAAACAATATTGTTTTGGTAAAGACAAATTCGTTTTTTCTGATTTCATCTTTGATTTGCCTAATGTCCTCTATTAAATAAAAAACAAGGGGCGTGGGTGTGGGTATGGATCTTCTCTTCAACAGAATCCACACCCACACCATACATCCACATCCACCCCTTGAACATACATAATGAATTGTATATTTATGCACGATATTTCGTGATAATTTATAAGATAAACAATCCGACATATGATATAATAATTTATTTTTAAGATGAGAATATACAACAAAACATTAGCCAACCTGTGGCTCTATACTCGTACACTCAGCCTGTCCAGGAACATTTGTTGTCCATCCAGATTTGCATTGTCGACAAGTTGTTTGAGCGAACAATCCATTGTAGAATCCTACAGGACAGGGTTTAGGAGTTGTTGCAGGATCAGCACATGAATTACCAATAGGACATTTTGTGCAGTAAGTAACCCTTGGATAGATTGTGTAATAACCTTTTGGACATATTTTGCATTTGGTCTGTTCATAGATATCTCCATAAAAACCTGCAGGGCATGGTTGAGGGAGTTTAGTTGGATCAGAACAAAAATGACCTAATTGACATCGGATGCAATTCTGAGTACCAGGTTGCGTACTGTATGTTCCTGGACGACAAGTTTTACAACTTTGTTGAGCAGGTTTATTTGTATATGTGCCCGGTGGGCATGGTCGCGAAATATTGTTATTGACGGGTGCATAGTGACCAGGTTGAGCTCGCGAACAATTTGTAGAGCTCGGTTTAATATTGTAATGACCTGGAGGACATTGGCGACATTTTGACTGCTCGTACGTATTTGTATAGTTGCCTGGTGCACAGGGTATTTGCTGAATACCATCGGGACAGTAGAAACCTATCAAACATCGACGACATTTGTTGGCCAATAGAAACTGACCTGGTGTACATGGAGTGGAAGTAGCTTCTACAACGTAGAAAGTAATGAGAATAATAGTGAATATCATTGTGTTGTGTTTCTCTTCCAACAACATGTCATTTTATATTACGTAGTTGTGTACTTCCGACTTGAAGATTAAGGTTCGTTTTCATTTTTATTTGTCAAACAGAATGATTCTTACATCGACGCAATAAACCCTTAATATTTTATCAACTACCTTTATTGCAAACGATGTTAGATTAGTAGTTCTAAATATTGACTATGGATAAAAGAATGACGAACTTAATATTTCGAACGCTATAAAAAGGCTTCGTTAACAAACGTTTATTATTCATCATTCTGTTTCTGTACAAAATTTATCAAATTTGATTGACGCATACTTTTTCATTCGAACCAAAATGTCTGCTTATTTGGTGTCAATAGTGTTTCTGTTTTGTACGTTACATATTGTATCATTGAATGTTATACGAGGTTTCAACGACGATCTTTGCGATCCATATACGGTCACATCCGAACACTATCCATCGTTATTAATGCATCTTAATGTTCAAAAGACAAGTCCTTTAAAATTGAAGGCAATATATCGTCTTCCAAACAGCACTAAAGAATTCTCTTTTGAAGGTATAGTTCTTACCGGTGGTTTTGCAGTGGCAGCTGAAGTAGCGGCTTGCAGATCGCTAGGCTGCAGCAAATCAGCAGGTGCGACATCAATGGCATGGACCGCAGAAACTACTTGCGAGTTCACTTGCCCTGATGGCACAAGTGCCATGCAAAACTGCCGTTTTATGATCAAACAATTCCAATGTCCAGTTGATGCAATGAATCTTCTAGAATGTCTCACAAACGAAAAATTTTGGGAATATGCATCAAAAGCGCCAAGTCAGGGCTATTATGGCATTGATCTCAAGTGCACTGAATGTGGAGACTAAAATTGTTATTTATTATTAAGAAACAAACAATGTTATTTACTTGCAGTGAATATTTTTGTGTAAAATTTTTCGAAGATTCTTTCTCTTTAATAAAACTTAACTATTTCTCCAAAAAGTATAAATAAGATTAATGTAAAGAGCAAGATGATTGTGCATGAAGTAAATTTTAAACATAAGAGTATTGTGTAAGTTTAAGACAAGATCCATTATGCAAATTAGAATGAAATTTGATCGTCTAAACGAACCACTTCTATGACGATATTTGTCAATCTCGTCGATGAGGGTGTGGGTGTGGGTATAGATAAAAGTAGCAAACACCCACACCCACACTCGGCTTTCAAATATCGTATCTCATGCCTATTTTGTTTCGATGTACAGCAGCGAGACGCACTTTCGCACCGGGCGAATTTAACTTAGGTCGATTCGGTCTACCCATTGCTATCA